GCATGAAAGGACTTGTGTCACCCTGCAAGCATCTTATAGTAAAACAATCATTGTCAAGCAACCAAGAAAGCAGAGACTATTTGAACCACAAACGTTTTGATGTACGGATGATTTCTAACTTGCAAATGTCTTTTCCAAATATATGATTTCTTTATCTATATTTTTTAAAAATCAGTCCTTCATAGAACCCAGATGTTTAATCGTTTTTGCATTTGCTTCAAAAAGTTTGATGCAGATCATTGAAAGAACAAATCCAATGTCATGCAGGTGAGTTCTGCAGCTAGCAGGTGTGTGTCTGTGCTGAGGTGAAGCTCCGGTATCTGAGATCCTGGGCTGTCCGAGACACCTAGTCACAGTTAATAAGGAAAAATTACCCCCAGGCAGAGTGTTAGGCCTGTAACTGAATAATTCTGGTTTGCTGTTTTTATAGTTTTAGAATCTCAGTCTCATTCCTTTGTTTAAAGGTGCCATTCCAAGGAATGGCTTTCGTTCATTCCTCATATTCCTGTTATCTTAATATGTGTGCCTCTACCTGTGCTAAAATAAGGCATGTGATATGGATGGATGGATGGATAGACTTTATTCATCTCTGGAGGGAAATTGGCAGCTAGGGACATTTAAATACAATTAAAACAATAAAAAATGACGATAGACAAAAGTGCAAAAATGCAGTTGGACTAAGCATGAATGTGAGATGGAAACACGGGGGACATAGAGGCTCTGTGCGCTGTGGTTGCTGGCCTGTACAACGGCAAATGGATGTTCCTGTTAACAGCAGAATTGACAGTGTAGTCTGTGTCATTTCTCTGGAATGATCATGAGTTCTTATAAGTGATTTCATTTCAGAGGAAGCACAGGGTGTCTGAACCAGTATAATTGATATGGTTGTATCTCCAGATCACACCTGTGTTATCGAGCTGGCTTTGGGCGCAGACTTTCGGACATTTGGACGGCAGTGACGCTCTAGTAACACCTGCTGGACCCGCCTTATTTTTCCAATATATTTGGCATTCTAGATCTGTCACGAAATGAGCTTTGGATCTACTGCAACAAGATGGATTTATTAAGAAATTGCCAGGGGGGAGCCAGCAGCGTATGGGCAAGTCGGGCCGTTCCGAGGAGGCCTGGGAATAGCTACAGCCATAGACGGATCAGGACGCTGCAACAATGAGCCACCTGCAATCCGGCTTTACAGCGAGGCCCCCCCGCACTGGGAGGAGCCGCCGCACTGGTCACTGGGCTTCCTCCCCACCTGCTCCCGAAACCTTCATGCAGAACCTCGCGGGAGCAGGCCTGCCGACTAAGCTGTCCATCACCGTGGCGACGGTAGCTGAGAGGAATCAATTTTTTATAGACAGCTGCTCCTCGTATCCAAGGGCCTCCTGCATTCGTTATCAATAGCGGAGCGTACCGAGGGAGGCGATGGCAACCCGAGCTTGACGCGGAGACGACCCAGAAAGCACAGGGACAGCACATTTCTAAAACGGGAAAAGAGATGCCTGGAAATTCCACTTTTTTTTTTTTTTTAACTTCTAATTCTGAAGCCATGAGTTTGCATTCCGGTCGTGTTCGGCACACTTTCTTCAGCTCACTTTGGGCCCGTGTGCTGCTCCCAAGCCTGCTCGTGCGAAATGACAAGCCGGTGTGACTTTTGCAGGAACGTCAAGACTGTCTGGAAGATCTCCGAAGGCCATCCGCCAGTGCGAGCGGCATTCTCCTGGAAGAGCGACCCCTCATGCAGCCTTAATAACCAAAATCAGAAGTAGCATCAGCGCAGCGTTGTAACCTGATGACAGGTAGAAAGATTCAGACTTGCAGCGACGTTCTTGCTCCAAAGAGAGCGACTGACAGAAGGCTTGCTTTCTTCTGACTTTGTCTGTGAAATCTGGTTTTCATCTGGTTGCTGGGCTGCTTAATGCATTTGAAATGCAACTTTGAAAAGACATTCCTTGAAAAGCCAAGTGTTTGTTTCTGAAAGGTATTGTCGCTGTGGTATATCTTTAACTTCCATTTAAAAATTGCCCTCCCAACAGCATTGAAGCTACCATTTATAGAATACCTTTTTGTTCTAAGTAACAAGTCGAAATAGGTCTAGGCTGTCTAGTCAACACTTTGGAAAAATAAAAAAACATTTTTTTTGCACATAAGTTTTGGTTGATCATTAAGTCATATGTGACGGAGTGACTGTGTTTGACTACGATAGAAGCAGCACACAAGATGTTTAAATCAGGGGTCATTTCAGCCTGTTATTTTACTCTCTGCCTCTGATTTTTACCAGAGCACAGAAGGATCCGGTCACGTTCATAGCATGGAAGGAGGTGCCCATTTTGGGCAGAAGATGGGTGCCCCAGAAGGCATTTGTAGGACCGACGCAGTGCTTTTCACCACAGTACTTAAAACCCACTTGCATGTTCATTTTACATCAATTCCTATGTGAATTCATAATCAGCTTCTTTTTGTATTTCACGCCTCGTGCAGATGTTTGGTGACCTGTCGAGGGTGTGAGGGGGGGGTTGCTAAATGGCGAGCTCACTTTGGTACTCATTGCTATTCTGCCCTCGCCAATTCGATTTCCGTTAATGCCGCGCTTGGAAACGATGGAGCAACGCGTATTACGAACATTACGGCTGCCAGCACTTCCGTCTGGCTTATTTTTTAGCAATCAGTGGCTGAAAGGGAATGGCTGCACTGATTAAGCTTTGCAGTGGGTCTTCAGTTACATCTCCCGCAGCGCCTCTCCTCGCTGACTCGGCCCTTACGGCCCCTGGCTGCTTGTAGCAGGCTTCTCTTCCACACAAAAAAAGTAACATTTTAAAGATCCCTAATTGCATGCTTTCAAATTCACAGCGTTTTAATTTGCAAGGAATCCTAAACTTTATTGTTCAATAACGACTCTCTCACAAAAGCTGTATATGTCTATAAGTGACATTAATTACATTATGCTAAATAATTGTGTGTGCGTTGTCATGTGCAGATTACATGGTGGGGACATTTTTTTCAGTCAACTGAATTTTCTAAAAAATCTCACTGCAATCAAAAAACTAAAAATGACTAAAGTCTTGCATTTCATTTGGTTACTTATGTGTAAGGTTAGGGCTGGGTAGAGGTCGTCGTGTTGGGATTAGGGATTTTTGGCCATAGAAATGGATGGAATCCCCACAAAGATAATTACAAACCTGTGTGTGTGTGTCTCTCTCTGTCTGTCTGTATCTGTGTGTCAGGGGTGGGTGTGTGTCTGTGTCTATGTGGGGGTGGGTGGGGGGGTATGTGTGTAGATGGGTGAGGGGGTGTGGTGGACAGTGTCTATGTCAGTTTCATCATGCGGGGATCCTTAGACTCCATTGGCATGTTTTTTTAAATATATTACATGAACTCATGGACACTTTATTAGGTACAGTTAACGAGTACCTAATAGACCCGCTTTTCCCCTTTAGAACCACTGCAAGGGTATATACGCTGTGTCCTTTTGTACACCACTGCAAGGGTATATACGCTGTGTCCTTTTGTACACCACTGCAAGGGTATATACGCTGTGTCCTTTTGTACACCACTGCTGTACTGAGCTGTTATTTTTGCACTTGTGACCTTCCTGTTAGTTTTAATGAATGGCCATTCTCCTCTGACCTCTCTCATTAACAAGGTGTTTTTGCCCTTAGAACAGCTGCTGACTGGATATTTTTTGTTCGCCATTCTCTGCAGACGCTGTCATGCGTGAAAACCCAGGGGGGGGTGGCTGCTTCTAAGATGCTGGAACCACCACGTCTGGCACCAACAGCCACACCACCTTCAAAATGGCTTTGATCAGGGATCTTCGCTGCCCTGATTCTTAGCTGCGCAGTAAGTGAACCTCCTGGCCCTGTCTGCCTGTTGTATGTATTCAGCCGCAGCCATATGATTTGCAGTTTGGAGAAGCCGGCTTTAATGCCTTAATGAGCCAGTGTATTTAAAGTGGCAACTGAATGCATGTATTAGTTTTTAATAACCCGGGTATGGATCCATGTTTTCTGTTTTAATTTGAAATTTTGCTCAGCTTGGAGTTGTGGGTGACGTGTTTTTTTCAGCTAACTTGACCTTGGGATCAGGCAAGGCGTTAATGCGGCGCGGAATACGTGAGGGCTTTTTATGACGTGACGGCTGACCCGCATCCACCCAAAGAGCGTCTGAATCCCGGCGACTTCGCCAGAAAGGGTGGGGAGAGCTGCCAGCGACGGAGGTGACGGGTGGGTGCGAGTGGCGGAGGTGACGGCGATGATTATGATCCTCCTGGCTATTAGAGCGAGGATGATGGCGGGAGAGAATGACATTCCCGTACGAAGCGGCCTGGGGGAGGCGCCTGGGCAGGAGTAAAGCGGCTGATTGGCTGCCCTTCGGAAATGAACACCCACCACGATTCTGCTCTCCTGGAGTCAGCCGGATGATAGTCTTCCTGTTATTCACAAATGCGGAAACAGCAACAGCGTAGGAGAGTTTGATATTGGAGGCGGGCAACTTAATAATATAAAAGCAAATGTCAATTTATGGGGGGGGGGGGGCGCGAATTAATCCAAAAATTAAAGTATTAGGGGTATAGGTGTCCCCCACGCTCATTGGTTCCTATGACCCTGATGATCAGTATCGCACACGCATGCTTTCTGAGTTCTGCTTGCCCCGATCATTAAAAACATTGCAATAATCCTGGAAGTCGAGGGGTCATAAATGTGTGACTGTAGTCTGACGTCTTTGGAGGGTAAGTATTTTTTAATTCTCTGCCTTTTGTTGCGCCACTGAGCGAGTCTGAGGTGACTGGCTTCGTCCTTCTGAGAATGATGCAAGGCCCACAAGGCTGGAGGCAAAAACAATGAAAATGAAAAGAACGAGGTCGGGTGGGGTGGGGGGGGGGTTGGGGGAAGGAATCATTTGATCCTCGGTTAACATGAAGGACGGCGCAGTTTGGAAGCGGCCTTCAGGGATGCGCGTTAGCATGCGCGCGCTGTCCGCATGCAGGGCCGCCGAGGTGCCCCCCCTTCCCGCCAGTGTCCGTGTGTCTGCCGCAGATAAGGCGGGGGGCCTCGGGTCATCTGTGGGGCCGCGGTACATCTGAGGATGGCACCCGTTTGATCACAGCACCGGGGGGCTCGAGGATGGGGGGGGGGGGCACATCCGGGTCGACGCACTGGCGGTGTGATGCGAACCCGGAATAACCTTCCTTGTCGTTTCAGGTCTTGGTTGTGGGATGAAAGATACCCAGATCATTTGAATAGATAAAGACTGTTGTTAGTCACGGGTGTCGCCTGAGAAAGGTGGCATCCAGCTAAATATTGCAAACATTTCCTGATATGGGCCATAAGACACGGTCATTAAGTCAGGCATGGTGGGGCTGGCCTGAGCCCCCCCTCACAGCTGCACGTCCCCGCAAGGCTGATGTTCTGAGCAGTGTGACCAGGGGGAGTAGCAAGACATTGTGGGCCCCCCAGACCAAATCCTTGGGCCAATTGCTTGGGTTGGCACTTTCAACTTTCAGTCTGAAGAAATATGGGTCCCACAGTAGATAGATTTTGCTGAGGTGGGGGCCCCCGACAGTAGATTTTGGGGCCCCTGAATCTGCCAGGGTATTCATGCCCCTCCGACACCCCTGCTGTGATCTTTGGCATATCCCACAAACTTCAATAATAAAAAAGCCTGCTGGCTGATCTACAGCTTTGTTTTTCTAACCTGCTTCCTGACCTGCTTCTGCTTGGTTCCAAGGGGGATTTCAGACAGGAAGAGGGCAGCACCATGCCAGCTTGTAGGTTGTTACTTCTTTAGAGGCTGCTGGTTTGGTTCCTGTCAATGGGACTCCCTTGACTCCATGGGTGTATCCTCCTACTTTGACCTCTGACCCCTTAGGGTCAGAAGGTCATTATCAAGTGCTGTCTCTGCTGGCCTGCAACCTGAACTGTGTTCGTTTGGCTCATTATCCTATACAGAGGAACGTGAAAATATGCTTCTAATTATTAAAAATGTTCAAAGAAGAATGTGGATCCTTTAAATACTTGACAAGCTTAAGTGACCACACTCGTTGGGTTTTCATTATATAAAAAAAAAATTCTTGCCCAATGAATTACACCAGTAAGCCCATCTGAACTTGCTCTGCTGTCATAAATCTCAGCAAATCATTATAATCCCACGTGCTGGAATACAGGATTAGAAGGGAATTCTACCTCTCGCGGTGGCTGGAGCCCACGTTTGGGGCAGAGAGAGGGGCCCGAAAAGGACATCTTTCCATCGTTGCCCTGAACTCCTCCTGACGACAGAGACACCACCAGCATTTCCAGCAAAACCCCCGGTGCTCTTTGTTCCCCTAAATCAGGCCTTCTGGGTGAGATTTTTTTTTTCTTTTGCCGTCAAAACCTCAGTTCTGTAGCGTGGAAAATGGGATGAAAGCGAGTGTCGGACTGATAAGGACATGGAGGGCAGAAGCTGAAATGCCGTTGGGGGGCTTTTCTTCATTTTTTTTCTCCATTCCCTCCATTCACTTTTCTTGCTTCCTCTTCACATTTCTTGGGGACTCTCTTTCCTTTTGCTCCTCTCTTCTGCCACCTCCGTCTCTGAAAGTGGAGATCTTTCTGCAGATTACTTTAGCCATTATCTTCTTCTGTTACAGCTAATCTATCAGACTGGCTTGCACATGTGCCCACCTTCACTGGCATACTGGGCATTTGGCCCCAAACCTACAAGCAGTACTGGAAGGCATGTGACCAGGAGACCATGAAATGTACATCCAAGCTCACATTCCTGGCAGCGGTTCGGGAATGCTGGGAATTTTACTGCGGCTCTTATTCATCCATTCAAAATCAAAGGCCCCCTACACAAGACAAACGATCATGTTCAGCCCACAAATTAATTGTACATTTTGTTTTTCCTGCTATGATTTATTTTTAAGTAATGCGAGGGAAGGAAAGTCATTTTTGAGATTTTTTTTAAAGGCCATTTTTCAGACGCTGCCCACAACCCTTCACGGTGAATGACCTATCGATTGTCCTCGAAAAGGTTTCCGAATTTTTGATTAGGCCGTTAAAATATGCAGCGTACCTCTGTCTTGTCTCCACTTCTTTGGCTCGCTGGCAGTATTTTAACCCTTTTAACACCATTTTAAGCAAGGACTTTAACACCAAGCGCTGGACGGCAGATGCCGTGGCGTGAAATATTTGCAGTCTGCCAATAACCATAATTTATAATATCCAGCACTCTAAACAGCTATAATTGTAAGCTGTTACATAACTCCATCAGTTAAATGTAAATATAAGACATGTACAACTAAGAGCAAAAAAGAGAGAGAGAGCAAGATGGCATATGTGAAAAATGGATCCCAACGTATCTGTTTTTGTACTTGTGCAAGTGACAAATAAAGCTAAATTTAGTTTCAATTCATTTTGCGATAGAGAGACACACTTTAGCAAATCTACAGAAACCAATTCAGGGAGAGAAAAAAAGCTCCCTTCTGATGGAATACCAGAATTAAAGGGTAAAAAAACACTGTGTAAAACACATTTTTGGCATTAATTAAGTTGTTTGCAGATTGATCCAAAATCCTCCGTGTGCCACTTGACCTCCTGACAAGCTAAAGTATAAAACAAAACAACGAAAAATAAACAGTGATGACATCACTGCTCATTATGTCCTGGCAAAATATGATGTGACCTTGTGAAACAGTGTCGTTAGGACAGTCTAATGAGATCCGCGGCCTCGTTAGGCTGGCTCCCTTCACCGGGCCACCGTAAGGAGGTCCAGTGTAGCCACTGGTGCCTTCAGGGTGCTGAGAGCTGGAACCTCCTTTCTGCTGAATTCTTGGTTTTTTTTTAACAGTCGCTTTGTAATCATGAGCATTTAATTACAAGTATTTGTTTATGCCCTAATCCTGTTTTTTTTTTTTTTTATTAATGGTAATGTTTGATCATGTCCTGTTAATTAAAATTACATTAAGCAGAGGAAAAAAATTTTTTTTTTCTTAAATGTCAGTGTTTTCTGTATTTGTAAATTAGAGACATAAGGGACGGTTGCCATGGCGCTTGGGAAGGCCTGTTTGTTACGGCTGCTTTAGGTACTTGCTAGAATATGTGTAGCGATGAAGATAGTCCAGCAGGAAGCCAGTAGAGAGGAAGAGGTGGGTGTCGATGTAGAGGAGGGCAAAGGAGCATCCAGGAGGCCCTGCTCTGTGTTTCGTGGCCCCCAAGACTCTCCCAGTGCTGGTCCCATCCCCTCCTCCATGATGGATAACCTTTCGCTCATACTGATGTTAATCTCCTGCTCTGTCACTCTCGGAGTCTGTACTACAGAGTCACTATCTTTGGCTGCGCTCTGAGCTACACGCCGGTGCATTCAGAGAGCACTGCAGTCCCGCAAACATCACCGCGATTACTGCATACCAGGCCCAGCGGTTAAAAATAAACCAGATTCCAGGTAGGCAAAGGCTTTCCTCTTCGAATAAACCATTTTAGATGGGGCGTGACCAAAAACGCTTTTGTTTACTTAACCTGTAAGATTGATCACTATACACAGTCTAGGAACCCGGATGTCAGTTCGCTGGCAATTCTTCTTACTGGCACAGTCACCTTGAGTCGGGAACAGCGTTTTCAGGGTGGGGGTAGGGTGACGAGGCCTGTGCAGACGTGCTGTAGCTGGGGCAGAGTTGCCGCCCCCCCAGCCCACCCCCCCAGTGCTGTTCATTAAGGCGCCGGAGATGACAGTCCGGTGGGGCCCAGGATGGATGGCGTGCCAGGATGGACTTGGGATGTGGGATGGTGGTTTCAGAACTCAACCTCCACAGCTGAACCTGATGGCCAGGGTGGGAGTGGGCCATGTGAACCCCCCCCTAGGGAATGCAGGAAAGCTGCTTCTTTTCTGGTACAGCGGTTAAGGACATAGACCTATACATTGCTGTTTATAACCCTAGGAATGTGCTCTGCTGTTTTACCCTTGAGCTGAAGTACTTAACCTGATTTGCTCCAGTGAAATGTACAAATGTGCAGAAAAAAAGAATGAAATGAAATATTATCATATGAAAAAAATGGGGAACATATGCTGAATTTATGTCATGATTCTTGAATGGTGTAGATGGAATTAAATGGTCATGCCAAACTATATTTTAAAATATCTTATTTTTCATAACTCAAATTAGTGTTGCATGTAAATATGCCCTAGACACTTTTCAATTTTAAGTGTAAATGTTGTCCTGCTTTACATAACGTTTCTCTTTCATTTCCTATTAATACTCAGAGTGTTTCTGTTTCCTGCCTTGTGAGAAGCGCTCTGGTCACTATGGTGATGAAAACCATGTGATACATAAGGAAGGACCAGCTTACTGGGGTACGGGGTTTCCTACCCATGTGTAAAGGGTTTCTAAAGCAAAACGGACTGGGGCAACTCAGACCTGCTCATCTGACTCTACCTCTTGATACATCCTGGGCTCCCTGCACATTTCCATGCATTTTTACTCATATTTAGCAGCACAGCTGTCCTCTTCAGTATGTACTGACCCTCCTGACACCCCCTAGATGACGTCTGTGATTAGTGGTGCTTTTAATTTATGGTCTTGCTCTCTGGGTTCAAGGTTGCTGCTTCTCCCGGAATGACGCAGAGTTTTCCGAGCAGTGCACACGTCCCCAGTTTAGCCGCTGCTGCGTTAAATGGCTGTCGGAGTGAGGAGTCGCGCCGGAGCGCCGCGCGGAAGGCTGTGCCGGCCACCGCGGAAGCGGCTCTGCTAGTTCCCAGCCATCGGCCGTCTGCAGGCGTGCCGGTGGGATTCCTGCCGCGATTGCTGCTGGTTTTGCCGGAGATAGACAGCTGCAGTCCCTGAGCCTTTTCCCCCTCCCAGCGGACTCCCAGATCGCTTCCTGGCTCACACTTCCTCGCCCCCTTGGGGCTGAAGGCGTAGGTGGCCATCCAAGCGCCTCTTCCTCAAGCCCCCCCCCCGCCTGGATCGCAGCGTGTCCCGGCTTCACCGTGCCTCTGCTGGTATCTCCGCCCGCAGTCGGAGGCTGAGCCGGCCTTCTCCCATCAGCCAGGTGTGAGCTCATGGAAACAGAGCCCCACTGATGCCCGGGAAAGCTGATTATGGGATGTCAAATAAGGTGTGTGTTTGGGGGGGGGGGGAGCACCGTTGACATATTGGGTTTTATTCAGAGATTTCTAACAGTCTGTTCTTTTTGCTGAGTCCCAGACTGGAGCACCTCCACCAATTTGTATGGTGGACACCCTCACTTAGACCCCCCCCCACCCCCCTAGCCTTTAGTACGCCGTCTTCTTCCAGAGTGGGTTTACGCATGGGTAACCCGCGTTCGGGGAAATAAGTCCGCCTCGGATCGGAAAGGACTTTCCGCTTGCCGACGATCCACTCTGCTTCCCAGGAACCTTTTTATTCTGCCCTTGACAGAAGGTTTAAGGAACAATTTGGGCTAAAGCGCACAAGGCTTAAAAAGGATGAACCGAGTTAGCCAGCACAAATTCATTTACGTGGCTGTCGCTTACTTCACGTGTATCAGTAAAGAAATCCTTAAATGCGAATGTTATTAATCTCCTAACCTGATAATTGCATTCATTTTGCTGTTTCACCCTGCAGGACAGTGTCCGAAACAGGATTCACATGCAAATATATAGACAAAAAAAATGCTGGGTTGAATGGATATTGATAATCCAGTAGGACGCCTTAGTTTGAGTTTATAATGAATCCATCTCTGGTGGTTCAGTCATTTCAGATAATTTCACCCTATCTGGAATTTCCTCAGATTTGTGCGGGCCTTTACAAAACATCTGAATCATTGCTTTGTGCTCCCCCCTTTGTTTTGAAATGTTCTCTGCAGAGGGAATGGACTAAAAGACACTCAAAGAAAAGGAAAAAAGGAACGAGAACAATCCTCACCATTAGCTTGTAGCCGGCTGCCGTCGGCACTGACAAGGCTCACATTGTGCTTGGGTATGCAGGAGAAATTCAGGACTAACTCACAGCCGGAGCCGGCCGGTTCCAGTTCTCATGGCTAGACGTGCTAAATTAATTAATGCGGCTTGGTCTGTGGATCCCCCCCTGCCAAACACATGGTGGCGTCAAGCACAAAAAATTACCAGATCTCCTGAATGCGCCGTCCGCGCCGGGTTCCTGGCTTGTGGTAATTATTCTTCACACCTAAGGCAAATCTGGCCCTGCTCCTGGTGGACCAGAGGATTGTATAAGATCCACTGACAATGAACGACTCCTACGGTTCTTTTCTTCTCTTGGGTGAAAAACAACATGCTGGTGGAAGCTGAGGCCGCTGCCTGTTAATCAGATAATCACTGGCATCCTCCGGTTAGGTAAACAGCCGTAGATGAGAAAAGGGACAACTGAGGAGATAGAAGCAGCGGACCTGGGACATGGGATGAAGCGGTTCGGGGGGGGGGGGGGTTGTACATGGGGGTGGCCAGGTGGAGGTAGGCTGGTCACTTGCTGCTAACTTTGCTGGACCACCTTTCAGCTACATACTAGAGCAAAGCTTTCTGGGAACTGGAGGCCACTGATCAGAGAGAGCAGGAGGTGTGGCCAAGCAGCCAACCAATGGCTTTGAGTAATCTGGTGATTGGCAGATGTCAACAGTATTGCAGAAAAGCTGACACATGTTTTCTACATTAATTAACAGACTCAAAGTTCACATCTGCAGGGAAGTACATCAATCTAAGTCCGACTGATACGTGCATAGTGCCCTTTCCACCTCAGATGTCCCATGGAGCTTGAGGCTTCCTGCACCGCAGGGCTATATTGCAACTGCACATATAGTAGCATTGTAGATGTAACTTATCTTGTGCATAAGAATGAAATGCCATTCAGAAGAACAAGAAACGAGACTTTGCAGACCGAAAATGGCCAAGCGGCCTTCAGCCTACCACTTGCAAACAGATTATGATCAAACTGCATTTCTGCGTATGTGACACTTGTATGCCTGATGCATGCATGCAGTCTGGCAAGCAAACCCCGAATGGCACAGAGCGGCGCATACACACTTTGACGGTGTCCATACAAGAATGCCGTTTAATGGTTACACTCTGCTGGCCGTACAATCAAAATCGCGTCGTATAGCATTTTACACATGAAGAGAAGTATGCACCGATCCAAGCTCCAAGCGTTACCAATATATACATCAACAGGCTCACAAACATGTAAGACACTGCCCGCCATCTTCTTCCCACTCCCAGCAGGCAGAGCGACACGGCTCGAGTGCTAATGTGGACTCGATTGCTCTTAAAGGGACAGTACCCAGATTGACTGTCACACAGATACCTTGTTACCTTTTTAATTGACACCCCTGCAGCATCATGGCCAGTGTGGGACGCACAGAATGAACCGGTTATGAGAGCTTATTTGAGACCTGTGCTGGTCAGAGAAGACATTCTATATTACATTACATTTATATTAATTCATTATTTAACAGACACTTTTATCCCAAGCGATGTGCATTTTTGAGGAAGTCAGCTTGGCCCTGGAGCACAAGGGGGGTAGGGGCCTTGCTCAGAGCCCCAACGACAAACCATGGAATTTGAACCAGTGACCTTACGATCATGGACTGCCACATAAAACATAAACTAAGTTCTAGCCTTCCCCTACTGCTAACACATACTGGCAGGATTGTTTTGGCCTGAAACTCGTTTTAACAGAATGGTGATGTGTGATAGAAAGCTTAAAACCAGCAGCTAATTTGAGGCTACTGGGCAGTTCAGCTTCGTGGGTCCTGGGATTGTAAGGCTCCAAAGCTTGACACACAAATCCGAGACCATTTTAGGAAGAGCTGCTATTTAAAGCACCATACCTCTGCTCCCTCAAGGCGTTCACTCTCTTAATAACGATATAAATTTTTTTCCACATACCAAAACCCACAACATTTTACAAACCCTTCTGTAAACACAGCTGCATAGTGAAACTGACAGTATGAGCAAAGATTTTTAGTAGAGGTTAATTTCTATACTTAATATACAGACTATAAAATCTTTTTTTTGATGGTATTGCAACATGACTGTACAGGCAGTTCTTTATATAAGCAATCTGTTCCACTAAACCCTTACGTAAGACAAATTTTACGTAAATCGGACTTACCTTCACATTCACTTGTCGTCCTGTTGTCTATGTTCATTGTCTGCAGGAGCATATACAAGCAATCATTTAATTGTACATGGTACTCATACTTGTACACATGACAATAAAATAATTGAATTGAATTGAATTGAATTGAATGAGCTGCTTGTATGTGATTAATTGCCCAGATGTGCCCGCAGTTCAAAGGGTGCGAGTACTTCTGGAGGTTCAACTGAAATCGAAAGTTAAGTTGGCAACCCACAGAAGATGGCGCTCTAAGCAGCTGCCTATGTCGCCTCAGTGGCTGACTGGCCCTGCAGACAAGACAAATAAGTAAGAAAATTAGTCTCAAAGCCCTCTAGCCACACACAATTCTCCAGAGTTTATTAATGGTCTCCATTTGTTGCTGAAACACAGTTAATCAATGACAATGATACACTTCATTCTACCCAGTAATGTTCTGACTGGTTTAAATCACCTTAATGGGTTGTTAATATGAAGAAAAGTATGTTTCACGATTAATGCTGTGTGTAATACTTCAAATACTGATCCAGTTACCAGATTTTCTTGCAAATATGATCTAAAATTATAGTTTGTGGATTAAATGATTTTTTTTACTGCTGTTTTCATTCAACAACAGAAAACTTTACCAACCTGTGACAGTTTCTGGTCATGATATTGTGTGACAGATAGACAGACTGGATGACATGGGGCGTCTTTAGTACTGTAACACTGGGCTATTACCACAATGGACTAATCATGTCTCATTTCCCAGGGTGCACCTCTTCCCCAATGGAGGTGCAAATGATCTACCTTCATATTCAGGCTCAAGACATGCCATCGCACCCTAAGATATGTTAGGGTATCTTTACGGAGTGTGTTGTGACATGCACACACACACACACACAGGTATCTTCAGGGGTTAGACCACAATAATTTATTAGTATGGGGTAGGGCCTCCTTTTGCAGCCAATACAGCATCAGTTCGTCTTGGAAATGACATATGACAGTCCTGCACAGTGGACAGAGGGATTTTGAGCCATCCCTCTCACAGAACAGTGGCCAGGTCACTTTGCGATGCTGGTGGAGGAAAATGTTTCCTGGCTCATTCCTCTAAAACACCCCTCAATAATATTCATATCTGGTGACTGTGCAGGCCATCGGAGATGGTCAGCTTCACTTTTATGTCCATCAAACAATTCTGTCACCCGTCTTGCTGTGTGTATTGGTGCATTATCATCCTGATACATGGCACCACCTTCAGGGTACAATGTTTGAACCGTTGGGTGAATGAGGGGTCCTCCAGAATGGTTTGGTAGTCCTAGGCAGTGATGCGCCCATCTAGAACAGGTAGCTGGCCTAGGGAATGCCATGATATTACAACCCAAACCATCACTGATCCACCCCCAGACTGCACTCCAGGTGGTAAGCCTCTTCGGGGCTTCTCCACACCATAGCTCTCCCAGATGTGGGAAAGACAGTGAAGGTGGACTCATCAGAGAACAATACGTTTCACATTGTCCACAGCCCAAGATTTGCGCTGCTGGCACCATTCAAACCGACGTTTGGCATTGGCACCAGTGACCAAAGGTTTGGCTATAGCAGCCCGACCATGAATATTGACCCTGTGCAGATCTCAACGAACAGTTTTGGTGATAAAAGGAGAGTTGAGGTGCACATTTAATTCTGCAGTGACTTGGGCAGCTGTGGTCTTATGTGTTTTGGATATAATCCAGGTTAGTGCCCGGACCTCCCTTTCAGACGGCTTCCTCTAGCGTCCACAGTTACTCCTATTGGATGTGGTCCGTCCTTCATGGCGCTACACTGACATTACCCTGGACACCGTGGCCCTTGATACACCACAAAGACTTGCTGTCCTGGTCACAGACGTCCTAGTGAGATGCACACCGCCAATTTGTAATTATAGGAGTGAAACCTCAAACACTATTTTGGGCAGTGTTTCAATTTCATTGCCCAATCCTTGTATATCTTTGTGGGGACTCTTCATTCATTTCTATGGGCATAAACATAATCCCAGCTATGACAACCTTAACCCCTAACCATAACAATAAGTAATAAAACTAAATACAAGACTTTTGGCATTTTTAGTTTTTTGATAAACGATCCCCACAACATCAAAATAACAGGTTTTTATCACCCTGAGGGGACATTTGATCCTCACAATGTAATATAAACATAACCCACACAACACAATAGATATTCCCACTTATTGGCCAAGTTACCCAAGTAGAGAATTCAATTTTGAGGTTTCACCCAAATCAGGCATATGGCAGACATCCTGTCTTGCTTCACTCTACTCCCCCTCCCCCCCAGTTAAACAGCAATCCTCAATGCACCAGTCTAATTATAGTGAAACAAGCACTCTGTGATCCGTGTTCCTGCAGGCTGGGGTGAATCCTCTCCAGCTGAGTACGTGCCTTCACCCCTCCTGTCTTTATCCTCATCCCCCTGCACTGAATTATAAATGAACGTGATGCTTTATATAATATACGTGCATATGTGATGCGAATCGGAGGAGCTCCTCGCCAGTCAATCCTCATTAGACCGTGAGCAAACCTCGTCGTCTGGTGCAGGCCAGTAATTAGCATGAGTTTTGAAAGGCACTTATAAATTGACAGCTCATCAATTTCCATCTATGAAATGTGTTCTTATATTTATGCATTTATTTATTTTTTGCAATTTCCTGGCTCTACTCTGATCCAAAGTAATGTGAGGTGTAACAGACCGGGGAACCGTACTGTACACCTGTGTTATTCAGAGATTTGAAGTTTCTCCCTACCCTCTTTCTAGCTCTGAGGTCAATGACTCGCAGGTTAAATACATCATTAAACCCTGTGTTTCCTGAACTGTTCCTTGTTCCCTGTCAAAATAACTTATGATCCATAGAGGGAGTGGATTATAAATGTGTTCCGGCCACAAGCTCTAAAAAACCCATAATGCCGTTTCTCAGTCATCTATTTTCATTTCACATCACACTAGCTTTGTGGCAAGTGCCCTCTCAACACTCTCAGATTTCTGAGCATTTGTCTGTTTGGCATTCTCCTTTTTCCTTCACAAGCATGTCTCTCTCTCAGCTCCGTTGTTCTATATGCACTGGACATTAGGAGACCGAGAAGTCAGCCAGGGACTCCATTTTCATTCGTCCACAACAAATTCCTCTAGTCTGGCCCAGGTTGACAGGGAGAGCATTGCCTGCTGTAGGTAATGGACCACACAGTTCTATAAATGCTTCAGTGGATTGTCGTGGTCCTCTAATACCTTCTCTGAGACCTCCAGCCATTCCATACATCTGTTATGTCCCAAAACCAGAACACAAGGCTAATTCTGCTGATCAGGAAAGGCCTATAGAAATAAATGCCTTTACCTGTATGCTGCCCAATGACACCTTGCTTCCTGGGAGACAGTTTTCATGGCAGAGCAAAGCAATACAAACCATGGGATGCCTATAGTAAGTCAAGTTGGAAATGGATGCTTAAGGTCATAACGTTTTGCAAGCAAATTCGTGCAAAACTGAGCAGGATGAACTTTCACGTGGGCACTTATTTGCAGAGGTGAAACGGTATGAAAATGTTGATCACAAAAATCGTGTTATTGAATTGTAACGGTTATCGGTATTATCGCGGTATAGTTAAAATGTGCTGCAAATGTTCGCTAAGTACTGATACACAACCTGGAAACAAACTGAAACAGCAATATAACTGGCAAGATTTTTTCCCCGTAGTTTACCACGACATCGGCAACCATTTTCATCAACTTATTTGTCTTTTACCCAAATACATGTGTTTTGTAGGGGGTGTCATTTTTTCACAATGAGCGAAATGACTTGGCCCTCACAACACAGCCTGCCTCGCTCGTACTGACTGAAAAATTACTGTAGCCTGTAAGCTAATTATAAATGGTCAGACTTTGTCAGAAATATGGTTAACATTGGTTAACACAAAATGTAATCTTACCTTTATAAAATACTGCACATTGAATTTCCTAACACTACCAAAACATCAAAGATTAGTTTCGATCTTGAAAGACTTTTTATTATTAGGCTATATTTCAAGCTTTCACGCAGAGTTTAATCTCTTCAGACCTTTTTTCAGTTTCGAATAATCACATTATATTCACACGTATTTTGCCCCGTATTTAAAAAATTCGGAAATGAAAGCGCCGTTCTAGAATCTAGAACTATACTTGAGCTGTTGCACTGATTCGTCAGAGTCGCAAAGTGACGTCGTTTAGAACGTATAAATACGACAACCGAGAAGAAGACGCTCATTTCGCAATACTCGAGGAGTTGGAGAATGGAGTTTCTGAATTACTTCAAAAATCTCGACGTAGTCGATTGTCTCCTCTTAGGCGGTACTCTGTGTGCAGCTGCCACTACGGCATACTACGCCTGGAACCTCTACGAATCGGCAATGCAGGAAGACGGTACCTCCATAGTTACAGTCTCTCTAATATGTATTAAATATCTAACGCCTCTAATAGCTGTATTTGAATATGTATGCCAGTGGTTTTCAACCTGTGGGCCGCGGCCCCCCAGTGGGCCGCGACGGTATTGCAGGGGGGCCGCCAATTATTATTAATAGAAATTGTAATATTGTTAATATAATAAAAAATGTCTAGTCAAAATCAAATAAATCATAATTTGATATATAATTAAATAAATTACCAGTTTATTCAATAAAGACAATTAACAGCCTTGCTTCCGAGTACTTAGTTAACCCTACACAAAAAGCGGGATCGTTTAAATTCTTTTGCAGTGGGCCGCGGAAACATATGTGTTTGGCTGTGTGGGCCGTGAGTTAAAAAAGGTTGGGAACCACTGATGTATGCAATATACTTATAACGTCCTGTCACAATATGTATATATTTGTTGCTCTCACCTACATACGTGTCCGTGTGTCATGGAAGGCAACATGGGGTAGGTTAAAAGAGAATTTTCTACCCCGGTGATCAATAAAGTATCATCACTTTAATTTCATATTAGATTTGTGGAACATTTTTAAGTCTCAGAGAACCATGTGCATACAGATTTGCTCACCATTATCCATCCAGGTCAATTAAATTTGATATTTCATGTAGGTTCCCACAACTTGGACCAAAGCTGTTTCACAAAGAACATCAGCTGACATGACAGTTAATGTCACTGAGCAATCCTAAAAGCTGGTAAGAGAAGCCAGGAGTCAATAGAGTCCTTAAATTAAATGTTCTGTTTCAGATCAACTGGACCCTGACTTCCTAGAGGACCCTGATGCTCTTATAATTTGGGTGGAGGTTAGATTTGAATAATCCCAGTTGGAGAGTGGTGATTAGAGTCCGTTGTTCTGATGACCTGCTGTTGAAGGTAAGATCTGTCAGACATTCAACTCTTCTCGTATGTGTTAGGGCTGCACGATATATCGTTTCGGCATCGTCATCACGATGTAGGCACGTTCAATAGTCACATCGCAGGACATGCAATGTCAAGGAATGCAAATTAAATTAAGTGGCGTAGACAACACTTTTGGTGTTTCTGCTAAACTAACAAATGTCTCATTGTTCTTATTCTTAAACAATCCACAAAAGTCTATCTAATATAATTTAGGTCAATTTAAAGGTTTTTGGATTCGGAGCCGACATGCAGTTTTGCACGGGCAGTGTACAAATACAGGGTTCCCCCTGGAGTTTGATTTCAATTCTTCCCTTTTCTTTGTATTTTTGCTTCTACTAATCAAATTCTTCACTTTTTTTCAGCATCCGTTTTTTTTAGTCACTCTCTCGCCGCTTCTTAATAAATTAATCATTAAACTCACTGAATATACATCTCTTCTGACAATCACACTGTGATTGGTCAACTAACGGCATGGGTAAGTCACGAAGCCAGCTGGCTGAAGTTCTCTGTCAATATTGTCAAAAAGTTTTTGAATTGTACTGAATTAATTTGATTTGACAGTCAGGTATTGTAATGCAATGTCGATACAACTAATAGGCTACTTAAATATACATCACACTAAATAGTTAGACATTATGATCTTCTGAACCTTTGCTTCAAGAAATTTTCTCTAACTGGACCTCTTTAGTTGAATACCCCTGCAATAGAGCTATGGAATTAATTAGATTTTTTTAAATCCTAATATCGCAGAAAGAATAAATATTCATAGTCATAGTAATGTCTCATCCCAAAACTTACAGCTAAGTTATTTTATTTCAGCCCTCATATCATATAAGGTTGGAACACTTTTTGTGTCCCATCCTTAGGAGCAGCTATTTTACTTCTTGACTGGTGTCTTCTTGAAGGACATGAGCATCTACCAGAACCCAAACTGTACCAAAGAAGATTATGTGGATGTCTTCCAATCGTAACTCAATTTCCTACAGGAGCACTACCATTGTGCCCTTAAAAATAAAGAGAGTTAGAAATAGAATATGGTTTGTCAGTTACTTTGGTTTTTTACATTTTGACCTGGGGAGAGCTGGTACAGCAGCGACATTTGATTGTTCAGTTGGACAAAAAGTCATCCACTGGACTTGGGGAAATCAGTGATCGAAATCCATTTTATTGCCTTCCACAACTGACAAAGTATAAGACAGCACACCTCAATGAAGACAGTCTACCAATAATGCCAGGTTTTTCGGTCTATAAAAGGTGTACAATAAACAGACTCATACAATTAATTATTTTATGTTTGATTTAAAGACCCTCGTTTAACATCCGCATTAAGTTCAGTAAAACAGGATGTTAAGCGATTTGGAAATTGCTCGAATATTACCATGGACACTTAGAAAGTTTAGGCTATTCTCCACTGTCGTACTGCGAAATGGATTTAATTAATGTACTAAGTAGTTTAGATACTTTGCAGGTAGTGCTGTATTTTAAACTTTTATGGATTATTAAAGCACAATATGAAAACATTTAGTATAGTGAAGCACAATAATTATCTATGGCGTTTAATGTCCTCCTGGTTTTTATGAGCGTGATCTTTGAAACTAATTAAACACCATAATTATTTTCTATGTTTTATAAAACACCGTACATAGTAAACATGAAACCCTTACTGTGCAAAGCAAACACATATTGTGTGTAGTAGCTTGCCAATTTTAATGTTTCGAATTGAAAGATTTTTTTTTTATATATGAAATAGAACATTAATTTTTGTATAACAAGCTTTTTCTTTAAAAATATATAAAACATCCTTGGTACATCTTGTACGGAAGAGGATTAGGGCCACCATGAAAATATTATTTGAATTCTGACTTTAAATTTAAAATCAGAATTCTGACTTTTTTCACAGAATTCTGATTTAATCTCAGAATTCTGACTTTAATCTCAGAATTCTGACTTTTTTTTCTAAACTCAGAATTCTGAGATTAAAGTCAGAATTCTGAGAAAAAAGTCAGAATTCTGAGTTTAAAGTCAGAATTCTGAGATTAAAGTCAGAATTCAAATAATATTTTCATGGTGGCCCTAATCCTCTTCCGTACATCTTGTGCTATTTAACACTAACATACAGACAACACATTTTTATTCAGTTATTACCCTCAGAGGTATACATCCTGCCCGCGCGTTTTAAAAAACAGCTGCCGCTACGTCCGGCATTAAAAGATAGATATATATTTTACATTTTTCAGGCCACGGCCGATAACGCGAAAGGACGTTAAATGGGGGGCAGCTATACTTGAAAAATTTAGGAAACCAACCGTCTCGTTTTTACTAAGCAAAATTAAGCTAAATGAAAGTGGCTATTCGACTACAGCTTAAGTGGACAGATTCATTAGGAGCGAAGTATGAAATAGATGTCAATTGAGTCTAATGAATGACTTTTAAGCTAATTCAGTATTGTACCTTCAGTTACCGTACCAAAACCTTAATATATATCTACTGAACACATCTTCAAATATGTCGCCACAATTAGCTTTAATTAAGTCTCAGGGAATAGGATAAACCTTAATGGGAATGGAGCGTAGCAAAACGGTCATGGAAGTGTCTATACTGTAAGAATAATGGATACATGTCATAGCAGAAAAGAGGGAGCTACATGCAAGCTGACCGTTAGTCAGTTTATTGAACAATGTGATGGACAGCAACAAGAGCTGGTAGATGATCATAGGGGTGGGAGGCTGTGGTCGTTGTTGAAGAGGCGGCAGGCAAAAACATGTTAGTTGTCAGAGAAACAGGCAAAAGATCCAAAAAAGGCCAATCTGTAACCAAAACCCGATCACAAGACCAGAATCACGAAACCTCGAGCCAGACAAAGCTATCGGTACCCCCAACAGAAGCAGGCGAAACAGGTCAATATAAAAAGGTGGATAATGATTCAGTGAACAGGGTAATTCTGTATTCAATTTGAACTTGTGACTCGGAAATTCCGAGTTCCTAGTCAAAAATTTCAACTGGATCAACCTCCTGAAGTCGGAAGTTCGGAACACCACCGAGCTCAGAATGCAAGATGGCTGTGCCCTTTGTCAACAGAATTTAGAGCTGTAGTTTTATACTGTTTATTAGCACTTACGTCTTATTTGTTTCTCATTAAATCAGTCGTACACACAGTACTGTCCAATCGCTATCTGTGGACGTGTTGGTGCGGTGTTTTTATGCACAAACTACCACATAATGTGTTATCAACTGATATTGGTAACAATGGCTAACAATGAACCTGGCTAGAACTGTGACCTGTTTCAGAAGGCAGGATTTCTTGCTTAGCTGGATAACTTGACAGATTTAAGGTAGTCTGAGTGAAATGTAAGTGAACAATGATTGAAACTGGGCTAAATTAAATCTGACAAATTTGAAAGAGGTCCCCGGTATTGCTAAATGGCATTCTGACTTTCTGTACTGGAACAGGTGTGATGTCATTCTCAGTACCAAGTTCTGACCTCAGAGGGAAATAGAAAGCAGCATAATTGCATAATTATGAATCGCTGTAAACCTCTAGGGACAGGAAGGTGATAGCGTGGCATTCTGGGTAGTGTAGTCCATTACCTCTGGTTCATGACAGGGGCTGGGCTCCCAGGACGGTCACTTCTCTATATATTAGAGAGCAGTGGCATAAACTGAACTGCTCCTGTAGATTTCCTGCGGATATGTGCATGAAGCCGCGTTGGAAGTGTCAGCTATGCAGAACGTAAATGTGCGAAATGTAAATGTAATCTGAAGCTGCCACTCAGCGCTGACTGCATTGTTGCCAGGGGTGTGTGGCTCTGTTTGTCCCCAGTGTGACAGGGGGCAACTTCTCAGAGGGTGTGTATGCCACACTGAATCAGCAGGCACCGCTGCCACCTGTTACTGTAAGTTAGGGGTCGGCTCTCTGTTGCCCTCTGCCACCTGGTAGTGTGGACCATAGGCACTTCTAGACACTATTTTTGTCTCAACCCTCCTCAAAAATGATTAGTATCAATCCATTAAATCAGTTGTCCCATATTTTTGTATAGATTTCATAGCCCTTGTGCTTGAAAAATTTTATTGTGGGCAGCGTCCCATACTCCTTAGAACAGGGGTGTCAGACTCCAGTCCTGGGGGGCCGGAGCCCTGTGTAGCTTAGTTCTTTCCCTGTTCCACCACAAAGGATTCAGCTCAAGAGCTGTGTGGTAATTAGCAGAAGGTGCTGAATCAGGTGTGTTAAATGAGGAGAAACCCAAAAAATGCGCAGGGCTCCGGCCCTCCAGGACTGCAGTTTGACACCCCTGCCTTAGAAAGTGGAGCCCTACTGACGACTGAGGCCCTCTAAGGGCCGAATCTTAGAATTGCCCCTGGTGTGGACACTTACGAATGATGCTAATGGTGATGAGGATAATGAGGAGGAAGGCTTTGATTGTCTTCTCCACTCTCACACCATTCCTGTGACGTATCAGCTAGCCCTGTAGCTCTGGTTACAGTAGTGTCTGCCAGATGCACACCTTGCTCTGATGGCTGAGGCAATGAATATTTATTAACTAATTAGCAATCTTACAAAAGAAGCAAAAGATATTTGATATCATGTTCAAATCCTGTTCTTTGAATACTAACAGACACCAGGCATGGAGACCCATTGTGTGGCCCATCCACCCTTCAGCTGGTTATGCAATACTGTTTTGTATTTTACAACTACAGTATAATGATATCCCAGTGCTCAGGGGCGTCTCAGAATTCTGGCTCGCCTTTACTGCCTTCTGATTGGGTATCCTAGTCGGGTTTACGGCTGGGTGCATAGCCTATTATTATTATTATTATTATTATTATTATTATTATTTATTATTTATTAAGATAGACGTCCATTGATGGTAACTGATTTGGTCCAGCAAACTGCGATATGAATCCGGAGCTGTGAGCATGCAGGCGCTGCGCGGTTTCCGCCGTTCGCAGTCAGTCCTTTGTTTGTCTTGCCGTAATTAATGCAAAGAGCGAAGCGGCTATGGAGTGGGTGTCAGCAGCACTGGGGCTGGGGGTTATTAAACAAGCACGTGGTGTGACTGGTCACGGTCCTGCGGGGACCGTTTTTAATCTCACCGCCTCCCCCAGCAGCCCAAAGCGCAGGGCTATCGGCGAGAGCGGATCCCAATTACGCCGCTCGTCGGGGACGGCGCCCACGCTGCGTGTTCGGCGTCATGTAACCTGCAGGGAAAGCAGCACATCCAGAGTTTTTGTCATTACTGTGATAATAATTATTTCTAAACAGATGTCCCGCGAGCGGTGGTACGGACGGTTAACAGGTTAATTCCCCTTCCTTTTTATTTTACATTCTAATTTTAACGCCGGTTGCTGGCGCACAGTGAAGCGGCAGCGGTATCCCGGTTCACGTTGTGGGTTCAAAGAAGTCGCTAGTACTCAGTGGAAATGTGTAAGAACTCATAGTGCAATTTAGAATCATTGTCTTTCTGTCAACAATAAGAATAAAACAAGCGTTAACTACTAAGCTTCTAGATGCTGATTACCGCTGCCGATTTTGAACAGAAGTTAAGATTTTAATTTTTAATAAGATAATTTTCTTAAAATGCTTATTTGTTTTAGTTATTCATTTTAAAGAAAACTTCAGTTTAAGCTTTATAATAAGTTTAACTAAGTAAATAAATGAATTCCAACTGTTACTGTAACTAATTTCTGCTGTTCGTGATGCAGATAAAGTTGTGTAAATTTCTGTGGTTGAAAATGGATTCGCATTTATTTCAAGATATATATGAATCATTGATCATTAACTGGGCAGAAAAAGTTATTATAGATATCATAAATTAATTTGTTTATTACTCAGTTGGTAATATCAGTTAATAAGTATGTGTTGTATGTCAAGGATCTCCAAAGTATTTATAGAAATCAATGGCTTAAAGACATGTGACTTGACAACCCGGTATGGTAGCAGTGCTAAATCTGTTAGCTTTTTTTGTGATAGCTGATTCTGTGGGCTTTGGGGTACTACTTCGGTAATCGTCATGAGAGCTCTATGGTTTACTCACC